TGCACAAAGCTCAGCACCGCGTTCATGAGGCCAAACACCGTTTGCATCACGCGGAAAAGCATCTCCACCACCTCGAGCGCGAAGAAGAGGAATTCAAACCTCACCACCACGGACACCACCACGGCCATCACCACCACGGTCACCACCACGGTCACCACTTTGGCTTGGAGGGAGCCGAAGAGCGAGTTCACCATGCTAAGGAGCATCTCCACCACGCTGAAAAGCACCTTCACCACCTGCTTCACGAGGAGGCTGAGGGCGAAGATGTTTCTGTAGGTCTTTTGTTCTTCCATATATTTTCTTGTTACTCATACCAATTCAAGGAGCATCGTCTTCACGTAGCCAAGCACCGTGTCCACGAAGCTAAACACCGCTTGCATCACGCGGAGCAGCACTTGCACCGCCTGGAGCATGAAGAAGTGGCAGAGTTCAAGCACCACGTACGCTTGTTTCCTTTTTTTCTCATACCCGTTTTTTTGATAATCTTATTTCTAGCACCACCACCACGGCCACCACGGTCATCACGGACACCACGGACACCATTTGGAGGGAGCTGAACACCACGGCCACCACCACCACGAGGGCCACCCCGCGCACCACCGTATGGCTCACCACAAGGTAGGCACAGTCTCGTACGCTTCTTGCACATATCTCATACTTACACTATTTCCCTAGGGTCACAACAACGAGGAAGCCCCCGTGGTCTTCAATATCGAGATCCAAGGTGGCGCAGAGCATCATGAATCGGGTCAGGTTCACGAGCACCACGAGCACCACGGACACCACGAGCACTATGGCAAAGATTTGGATTAGATGACCTGCTGGTAAGGTATTTTGTTGGTACCGTGTTTAATTTTGCTCATTTCTTCCCTCCCTAGATTCTTTCGCTCCTTCCTAGTCACTGGCGGGAGAAGTGATCGAGTTTGGTCAACGTTCAGATGAAGATGTATATACCAATATGTGTGATGTTGTATGTAGATCATGAACGAAAAGGACTGGATTGTAGATTGCACAAAAACAGTGTTTTTGAGTATCCGAACTGAGCGCTTGAGTATTCAGCCAAAATTCGTGTAAGAAATCTTTTAAACTATGTAGTGACGACTCCGTCAAATAATTCTCCCCTTGAACCGCCGAGTGTTTGGAAGTATTAGTATTACTGTTGTTCTGTAGTGAACACCGTCGTCTCCATGACGGGTAATGCTTGTTCTACTTGTATATTCCTCTATATGCACACTAACCCTGAGTCTTGAGTTTCGATCCAAGACATTTCAGTGGTCTCTCCACCTTGTGCAGCGCATCCCTACCCTCAAAACCCTCTGTACAGAGTGACTTCAAGTTCTCTAAGGATTTGTCTTGCATGCCCCGCGCGCGCTAACACACGAATGGAAACTATCCACCTCGCACACACTTGGGTAAGCTGGCGTGGTGATGACAAACCTCAAAACTTGGAAGGCTGTCAGCTTGAATGAAATTTTGCTGAACGTGACAAACAGCTTGTACACATTGCTTGTTGGTGCTCTAATGGTCGTGGATATTTACCTTTGCATATATAGCTAGCTGCGCGGCATTCGCACATTTCGAATCTCGTCTTCAGGTTACCGCTGGACAGTGCAAACCTACGTCTACTCATTATATACCAAGACTAATCTAGACTTTCTATGAGCTAAAATAGAAGACTTCGCATGAGGACTCGAAGCTACTATTCTCATTAGCTCGACCATCCTGGTCATATGAAGCCCCCGGAGACAAAGTAGTCGGAAAGCGTCGCCTTTCCGTCCTTCCATGCCGGAACTTTTTTTTTGACTTCATCCTTGCTCCATCCTGTGGACTTATCCTTGCTCCCTCCCTTAAGCTTACCCTTTGTAAGCTTACCCTTGCCACCCTTGCCACCTCCTTTAAGCTCTTTTGAGCTTCTTTTTTTCTCGTTTGCTATCTTAGAACCGAAAGTTAAGTACGACACACTGAACCAGATCACTCGGATAGCTTACCATCTTTACCATTTCCAGTGATAGCACGCCGTTTACTCGTGAGTTTCAGTAACGCCCGCTTCGTCTCTCCGTCAGGGAACGCGTTCAAGTCGTAATATAGCGGGGCATATTCTAGTAACCATTCAGGTCGAACTTCGGTGACAGTTCGGATATATGGGCGTTTTGTCAAGACAAATTCGTTGAACAATACCCATTCTGGTTGGGCGTCGAGACCACAGGAGGGGTGGAGGGCGACGACCTGACAAGTTACTGCTTAAGCGAAGCACAGAAAGACAAGAGTGAGATGTACCAACCTGGTTGTCCTTGACGGTCAAATAACTTCCCTTCTCTCCTCCCGATGAGCAATTTGCATGAAGAACCCGCACGTAAGCGCTTGGCATATTCCTATGTAGCCAGTCATCAGCACAAGTAACGAGTGATAACAAACAGAACTGCAAAAAGGACTAGGACCATCACTTACCCATGTTCCGCTTGCGTTCATCCTCCAAACTGATACACTCAACCTCGAACCTTTCCATTGTCCTCAATAACTGCGCCCGGACATTCTCCGCTTGCGCAAGCGCTCGTGCAGAGAGGAAATTGTTCCAGGCCCAGTTCCGGTCAGATTTGTCTTATCAATGCGATGTTTTATCAACAAAAGAAAACATGATGAATGCATGAAGAGACGTACTCTGATAATAATTATTGAATACGTTCAATAACGTCAAATGGTCACCCTCGGGAACGGTCATCAAGGCTTTAGCTTGATCAGCAGCCGCACGTTGACTTGGTGGACGGAGCCAGACATTTGGGACTGTAAAACCGGCTTAATCGAAGGAGCGGATAGAATTGGGAAATGATACTCACTACTCAACATGGCAGTGATGGTCAAGATTTCGTTCGAGACCTTGAACTCGGGCGAGACGATGAGCATTTTTGCAAGCTACAGGAAACAGAGTTAGGACGCCAGTATTTGAGGGCACGAAGTTCAGATTACCTGGGGATCCAACGGGAACTCCGCCATTATTCCACCTAGTGCAGTCAGCTCTCCTTCATCGTCCAGCGCTGCAAGGAAGTTGAGCAGCTCCAGCGCTCGCATAAGAGTTTCGGGTGCAGGTGCATCAAGGTAGTCAAAGCGGACCAGGTCCTGTTTAGATTTAGAATGCATCAGCGAAAATCAGAAAGCAGCGGCAGAAAAGCAATATACCTTTACTCCCAGCTTTGCAAGCTCCAATACCGCATTAGCGAGATTAGACCTCAAGATCTCGGGTGCGTCTGTTCTTCGAGCTCGGAAATGAAATCTTTCTCGGTGTAAAGTCTAAAAGAAACCTCAGTGACACTTTCGTTAGAGTATATACAGTAATGATCGTACCTAAAGCATTTCCCTGGCCTTGTACGTCCAGCACGTCCGGCCCTCTGCTGTGCGGAGGCTTTTGATATCGGCGACACAAGTAATGACTCGACTCGTATCCTCGGGTTGTAGACCTTTTGTTTGGAGAAGCCCGGGTCCACGACATAGACGATACCGTCTATAGTGAGTGAGGTTTCGGCGATATTGGTCGATACGACGACTTTCCGACCCGGTGGATATCCTTCTTGCGACTGCTTTGGGGGAGCATCGAATATGCGCTGCTGCTGTTGCGGCGGAAGAGATGAGTACAGGGGTACACACATAAGTGGACCAACACTCGATGGGTCGGAGTTGATCAAGTCGTCTGCCTCGGCTTTAATTTTTCTGCAGGCATCTTCGATTTCCTCTTCGCCAGTAAGGAAGAGAAGGATATCGCCAGGATCTTCTGCACGGTGTATCATGAGCACGGTACGGATAGCTGCCTCGACATAGTCTGGTTCAGGGTCCTGAGTGTAGAATACTTCGACAGGATGTGTTCGCCCAGGAACTTTGAATAACGGTGCAGGAGAGGGCTCTTCGCCCGAATTGTGTAGGGAGAAGTAGGACTGGAATTTTAGGGCGTCCAGCGTCGCAGACATGACGATAAGCTTCAAATCTTTCCTCCTCTTGGCGAGACCTTTGAGTAAACCCATTAAAATATCTGTAGCAAGTGTTCTTTCGTGTGCCTCGTCCAAGATAATCGTCGAGTACCTTGACAGCTCCGTGTCATTCATTGCCTCTCTTAACAGCATACCGTCCGTCATATACTTCAAGAAAGTTGTCCCCGACTCCGTCATGTCTTCGAATCGAATGCTATAACCAACTTGCTTCCCCAGTTGAACATCCATCTCGTCCGCTACACGCTGGGCAACACTCATCGCTGCTACTCGTCTTGGCTGCGTACAAGCCACCAGCTTCCCTTTAGTATGCGGTAAATCTGAAAACGCAACGAACTGGGGTATCTGTGTGGTTTTTCCCGAACCTGGGGGGCCGAATCGATCTGTATTCGAGTTGAATAATCCACCAAACTACTCACCTGTCTCTCCCACCATAACGATGATCTGATTTTTGGAGAAGATTTCGAGGAATTCGTCCATCTGCGAATAAACCGGTAGTGATCGCCGTGCTTCGAGGATTTTTCGGTATTGCGCTGAGTGTGGTTGCTTCGTGAATGGATTTAGTTTGTGGTTCATTGCATCGCGGACTTGTGAGCCCTTGACTTTTCGAGGAAGAAAGCCATATAGAGGCTCCTTGTCAGAAGAAGAAATCGAAGAAGAGGCACCTCGTTGGGAAGGAGCAAGATGAGCAAGGTATGGATTGTCGGACATCAGGGAGGAAATTTGCGAGGTAAGACTGGTAGCCTCGATTGAAAAAGCGGCAAGTCGATGGAAAAATTAAAATGTTATGGAACCGTTATTTAACTTAGCGCCTAAACATGAACGATGAGCGCTTATTGTACAACACAGCGATGGCAGCATGATTTTTCTACGCGTTGTATATCAGCGTTCAATGTTTTTTTCGATGGAAGCACGTAGGAACCTTCCATGCTCAAGCTTCAAGACTAAGTTCAAGTCCAAGTTTTCTATAAGAATTTTTTTTTACCTCAGTTCAGACTCGTGTGGGCAAAAATCTTGATTTGTATCGCTTCCTTAGCTCAGTCGGTAGAGCGCGAGTCTCATAGTATGAGCAACGAAAGCGTTGCCAAATCTCGAGGTCGCAAGTTCGAGCCTTGCAGGGAGCACTGAAGTCTCCCAGAGAGCTGCTAGTTATTTTGCTACATCATTCATGATCACTGATTCGCCAAGTCGATAGATTTTTCATGCACGAACAGCGTTGGCTGATCTACTATAAGATTGTGATGCCTCATCTAACGTTTTGTAGATTGTTTTCTTCATGGATGATATATGAAAGCATCAACTACCCTGCTGTTGATGTAAAACCGCTCCGTTGGGACCGTCAGTCATCAAAGTGTCACGCTGGCTCGAGTCTAGACCCACCGATTCTACTACCCACCGCTATGTGCTACTAGCTGCTTAATGTTGCCAACAACGGCCCTCGATTCCCAAACACTGGTTCACACAGCGATTAGATGATATCTGTTAAAGCAAAACGAAATGTCACTGGTATTACCGCAACCATCATTGCAACATCATTGACGGTTATGTAGATCTGTTCATAGACTTCAAGAAGCTGTTCTAATTTTATTATCACCATTCCCGTGCTGTTGAAGCACCTCAGCTCCTGATGATCCTGTTCCTGGTTAATGGATCCCGTCCCACTTCGATCCGTGCCTTTTCGGTCTGTTTCTTCCTTAAACATCAACATCCTCGACAGTGTTGGTACTGTTGGCGCTGGTGTCTTCAGGATTCTTTCAAATCCTCTTTCTTTTTCTGTGGGTCGAGCCCTTTATTTTGTATTCTAGGTCGGATCAGTGCCTCGTTCTTTACATTCTCAGGTAAGTTGGTTCATAAAAAGCGATAAAGTAGCACGTAATTTGCCTAATATACATTTCTTATACTACTAATTTGCTTCTTGCTCCTTGTACTAATCACTTCGCTCCCCTCTTCTAGCCAGGTTTCTTCTTTTTACGACAAGTTTGTGCTAGTCGCAGATCCTTCACATTCTCAAACCTGTTCTTCGTTCTTTCATCTCGTTCCGACCCGCGTTTTCTATCCATCTTCATCTTCAACCACCAATTAAATATGCGACCTTCTGCCGTTCCCTTCTCCCCCCTTTCGTTCCTGTTCATCAGCCTTCTATTCTCATCGACCGTAAATGCTCAAGCAACACCGGATACCAACCTATTCCAGTGGAAGTTTGCCAATAATGTCAGGCTATATTTCTGTCATCTTGATATTAATCGCTCAATTACTTTCTAGTTTTTGGACACCGGGCTCGCATCTTGTCAAAGTCTTGATATAACTGTTGAACCGGTGAACGTGACAAACAATACACATGGGATTCCCCCGTTTTATATGCTTGCTTGGGAGATTGGAGGGACTCCGAGAACAGTACTGCTAGGTCTGAATGAAACTAGCTTGAGCTGGACGGTGGATCATCCTGTCGGTGCGTTTGGTATCCAATACCCATTTGTCGTTCTAATTTAACAACCTTATAGGTACTTCATTGATGCTAAATGTCGTTGACTCTCAGGGAAACGGAGGAGGCATAGGTCCACAGCTATTTACGGTTTTACGTGCGTTTGGGTATCTTAACAATGCCATTTGTGTCACTCATGCACCACCAACCCACATTCTTCCTTGGGCATTGTAGCTGGCCAGACAACAGCATGCGTCATTAACGGAAATAATACCGATTTCACTGTGAAAGCCAATGTTACAAGCTCCATCAACACATGCCAGCCCTGGGGACTTAGAATCCAAGGCGGTACTCCACCTTATAACGTCTCTTTCGCTCAGTTGAACTCCCCCGTGGTCACTAATGTGACGATTCCTAGTCCTCTGGACGCATTTACGTTCATTAATCGAGCCACACCCCAACAACTTCTTTTGGGTAAGGACAAAGCTTTCTATTTCGTCCTTGTTTCATTCCTCTGACGACTTTCTTCATAGCTGCTGTAAGCGACGTGTAAGTGGCAGTATAATGACACAAATTAGCAACTGACACGATTACCATCCCGCAATTAGAACTGGTCGATACGCGTTTGGAACGCCTACCGTAATGCCAACAGGCTCCGAAGACACCACCTGCGCTGGTCTTAATAGCTCACCAGGAAATGCGACCTTACTAAATGGGGAGGAAGCAGCGCAAGCCAAGGCGAAACGCCAACGAGCCGCTACCCTCGCTGGTGTTCTTACTCCGCTTCTGTTGCTGCTATTTGGTGGTGCAGCGTTTTGGGGTTACCGGTATTATACAAAGCAGCAGAAAATGAGGCTAGAGTTAAAACCGGATCCGATGGTTCTTACAGAGCCCAAATATGTGGAGGAAGCCAATCCGTCTAGAGGTTCTCAGCCTGAAAGTCAAGTGATGTCTATCCTTGATGTTCATACTTCGCCGTCAGGTTCGAACTCCCTCCTCAACCCTTTCTTGACGGAAGCCGAGCGAAATTTGACCGTCTCTCCCGTCGATGCCTCGGACGGACATTCGGTTACCAGTAGCAGCCGTCCCAACTCTAGCTCCTCACGGCGAGGCTTTTCCAATTTCCCGGTCACATCCGTACGTCGACCAAACAAAAAGGCAATTGAAGCAGGGTTTGCCACTAGTGCGTCGTCCCCCAGCTCACAAAACCCATCACCTGTTGCCACGGGATCGACGTCATCTATTCCGCCTCGTCGCAATCCACCCATCGTCGAGCGCTCTCAAACCGCCAAACCGCCAACGAGGCCATCGTCACGGGTACCTTCACGGTCTGCTTCCTTGGGTGCTCCGGTTGCGCTACCTGAAGGCGCGCCGGAGTTTATCATCCAGCACCAGGATGCCGGACGTTTTGTTCGTGAGCTCCCACCACCCTACAAAGAACGTCGCTCTCGTCCGACGCCTGACGTCCCTTACTCCCCTTGATATCATTGTCAATTGCTTATGCGTGCCCTTTTTCGACTGTTCGTCTTTTTTGTATAATTTAGCTATGAACTTCTCAAATCATTGCATTCAATGAATGACCGAGGCGCTGTACGAGTGGGCGAAGGGGGTTGGATTTAAATGGTTTTTGTAGGTTCCATTATGTACATATTGAAGTATCTTAAATTACCTTCTGAAGTTCTTCCGGCGAAAATTTGTGAGTTTAGCAATACGAGTTGAGCGCTCAGAGCTTAAAATGGCTGTCCGATCATGGTATGAGGATCAGCGTATTCAAAGCGCTGGTACGGGGCTAGGAGGTCCGAGAAGTCAGTTGTGAAGCCTGGGGGGCTTTGAGGACTGGGAGGACTGGGAAGAACGGGAGGAACGGGAGGAATGGAAGGTCTCTGATGTGTGGGATGAAGCTTGTGCTGATACGGGGCTAGGAGGTTTGTGAAGTCAGGTGTGGAGCCTGGGACTGGGAGGCCTTGAGGCCTGTGAGGACTGTGAGGAATGGGAATGAGAGGTCTCTGAGGTATGGGATGTCTCTGCCTGGGAGGCTTTCGATTTCCGGAAGGTCTCTTGGGAAGTCTCTGTCTGGTAGGCCCCTGGTTGGTGGGGAGAGGAGGCAACTTGTCATCTATCATAAAGTGATCCATAAACTCTTTCAACAGTATATCCCATTCTTCCTGCATCTTCTTTGTGACAGCCGTCTGGATTGGCTTTGCTTCTGGTTTTCCCATAATCTACAAATGAGCCCTGGCTTGGCTTGCCTGAGCTAATGCCAAAATACGATTTGGCAAAATTGTCAGTTCTGACCGCCTTTCCCTTCCTGTTCTGTATGCGATCTAGCAAAGCTCAGGCTATGAGAAACGCAAGGAAAGCACATTCGGGAGTGAGTACCCACAAGATCTTGCTCTCCACCCAAAGCATGGATGTTCCACCGTACACCGTGTGTCCACTCCAGTGAGGTTGGCCAAGTAAAGCCATTGCCGATCCTTCGGCCGCTGTGGTTCATACAAACCTCTGTAGTTTATTTTACATTTAAATCCGAAGACATCCCCAAACATCGTGTTGAGCGCTGATTGAGTTGGTTCATTAGGGAAACGAGTTTCGTCGTTTTCGTCGGTTCCCAATTTTAGACCTGCGGGGCCAATAAAGGTCATAGTGGGATTTGGCTGGCAATATGGGTGTTGAGTATTAAGTATTGGTAGCAAACTACCAGAAAACACTCACATGTGGGGGTCTGGCTGGCACGGGTGTAGGGGACACAGCAAGTATGCTAGCTATGAGTGTAAAGAGAAGAAGACCAGCGCGCATTTCCAAAAGTTGTAGTGTAAATCGCAAGAAACGCAGATTGACCAGCAAGCTGCAAATGTACTCCAGTGACGAGAGACTGAACTGGCAGATCTACATTTCCATTCACAAGTGGCTATTTATAAGGGGTATGATTATTTCAATTTCCCAAGAACGGGTTCAACTTTCGGGTTGTGTCAAGTTTTAACCTCACGGCTTTTTCTCGCCCTTCACGGCTGCCGCAATCTGTGTGGGGGAGTGTGGGAGAGTGGGGGGCGACCTGATGTGCTCTTCAAATTCAAATTTATGTCGGGATCATGGTCAGAAGATCACTCACTCGTTCCATCCGAACTTATTCAGAGACTCTGCCTGCAAGTTATCTCATATTCTCTTTGCTCTAGTAGGTGTCTCTTATTCGACGCCTCATAAAATGGATTTGAGGATGAAAAGCCGCCTGGTGGCCGCATCCTGGCAGATCCTGTGCATCTGAATAGCCTCACTATTATAGTACTATTAGTTTAGGGCGCCGGCCTTGCTCTGCCTTGCTGTGTTGCCATTTGGTCGGTCACCGGTTGTGATCGCATACAGATCCGTTCCACCGGTTGTTTCCTTTATGGGACGCCAGTTGCCATTTTAGCCATGTCTCTAAGTTTTCTCTAACTTGTAAGTACTTGTAGCAAAACACTGAGTTTTACAGAGCTTCTTCCGAGTGTGTTAATTTCGCCTTGTAGCTTTTACATAGTCTTGTACCTTTTACATAGTTTTGTATCCGTCGCTGGGTGCTCCTAGAGACTTAAAAGTTAACACCCAATGGACAGCTTTGCAAGTCTGTAGGACGTACCGGAATCACCTGCTTTCACTGTGTCCACCACCGCTCTTCCTTCTTCTTCCAAGTCATAGATGAGTAAGATGCTTTTTGGTGCTCAAGGA